AAATTGATAACAAAGCTAACCCATTCAATCGCTCTTATCAGCTTCAACTTCGAGAAACTTCTTTCAGCAGTGGCAACTGATACCGGAATGGTCAACAATATGCGACAAGCAATTTTTGTGTGTTTGACAACAGTTCTCCATATTTTTCAAAAAATTAATCACTTCAATAGGCTTATGAACATCATCTGGTATTGGTACTCGAAGATTTTTCAGTTTCATAAACAGATCAGCACCATCTATGTCTGAATGTGTACCATTCAAAAAAGAAACCTCCAAATTCGCACATGAACTCTTCAAACTATCATTGCTGGCCGATCTTAGTTTTTTTTATATCAAACAAAACCCAAAAGTTTGTTCATACTTTTGAAATTGTTCAAACCTGGACTCGAGAGAAACTAGAGCTTGATCCGTATAATTTTTTTAACAAAAATATACCCTTTTAAAGTGGATACCACAAAAAATGTGTTCTTTTAAAGTGGATGCCCATGACAGGCGTCTTCCTCGCCTGCCCCAGCCCAGATCTGGGACAAAGGTGGACTTGCACTGATGAATGCTTGAAAAACCAGCGAGTCTCTTCTTCGCTTGTGTTCATAACTCCTTGTTACATGCAACAAAAGACTAGCTTCTCATTACATAATAAATAGATTATTGCTTCAGTTAGTACTCAAAGATGTAAAAAATGATATAATTAAAGCAAAATTATACTCTCCAATAGGATTAACAGATTATTGCTTCAGTTAGTACTCAAAGATGTAGGATCTCAAACACCAGGGCCAATAAATAGAAGGCACTCAAGAAAGTTTAGTATGCAACTAAAAGGATACAAGACTTGTATATCTTTTCTATTTAATATGTGCGTAAAAAAGGAGCCTCCCTTGAAGCAACTAGCTTAAGGATATAAATCATATATACATCTCCATAAGCTACTTCGTAAATTGTATAAAAGTAAACTACAGAGGATAGTAATACTGAGCAAAGCTTTATCTTACCAGTAAATACATCTCTATGATTTGCCGTAAAACAATAAATAATAAGGACACATACGAAGGAACCTTACAAGAACAAGAGACTCAAGAGGATAAGAACAACACAAAGCCAACCTATAATTTAACCAGAGAAACCGACAACTAAAAAAGAAGAGAAATTAAGACCTGTTAACTATATTTTGTTGTAAAACGGGGCGGCCTTCGATTTACGGACAGATAAACGAATCTGGCTCGGAATCATACCCGGATCTGGTCCAATCCGGCGAGTATATCCCGTATCAAGCTTTTCCACAACAAGATTTGCGGTCTTCTATAGTCCAATTCTGCGAGTAGATCCCGTATTTGGCTTTTAGACAACCAGATTTGCGGTCTTCTTAGGGATGTCCTCGTTGCACTTCAGGATTCTCACATGTCCATCGACGAAGCTGTTGTTGGGATTCTTCTTCACCGGTGCCTTCTGAGCGAAATCAGAGATGGCAGCACAAGAATGTTGAAGCGGCAACGACATGTTGGAGATCACGGCGATGATCGGAGGGAGAAAGTTTTTCTGATTGGAGATGAAGAGTGTTTTGAGTGTGTGAAATGTCGAAGAAGAATTATTTGATTAGAGATGACACATCATTTTTCTTCTTTAATAAATGCTATGTTTGGTATTCAAATATGGGGTTTGTTTTGAGAATTTTTAATTTTTTGGGGCTATATTAGAGAATTGCCAATTATTTAATTATGTGACTTCAATCAAAACCCTAATTTATTTAGAAATTATTTGTTTTATAAATCAAAATCTCACAATCGATTATTCTTAAAAACTCTTTAAACAATAAAATATAAAGGTCAAACAATATTATTCTAGATAAATACTGATTACCATATCTTTTATAAAATATAATCGGAGGAGACATAATCTACCATATGATTATATAATTAAGGAGGCATAGCCTACCATAGCAATTGATTTGGGAAAAAGACATCTCTTATCTTTTTTTTTCCGACGAAAGCATGAACTTATCATCTTGGAATAATATGAACATAAACAGAAAAAAATCTCACCTTTTCGGTGGAAGAACAAAAGGAAAGACTTTCGTGCTGATAACGTGTTGTGCATAAGAAAGAGAGAGAAGATAAGAGAGAAATGGTTGTGTCTTATTCCATGAATAATGATAGGTATTTATAGTATTACAAAGACTTGGAGAGGAAGCTAAAACCTAGAGAATAAGGAAATAGAGAATATTCTAAACCGCCTAACGATATGGGTCTTATAATGAGCATCCATATTAATTATTCATAACAATATATAAATATACATCTATACTATTCCTTACCAAATCAGCCTCTTCTTTTCGTATTTGCATCCACACATTCCTTTTTTTAGAAAAAAATATTTGAAAACTGTTTTAATATAAATCCATTTTGGTATAATATTAAACTAAAATATTCATTTTATGAAACGCTATTGCAAATAAGTCTGTATGTTAACTATAGCATTTACTTAAAGAACGCTATATAGGTATGCTATCTTTATGACATTTTCTTGTAGTGTTAGGAAGACATTTATAAATGCATGTAAAGCTTTCCGAAAAATAAAGAATTTATTTTAGAAATAACAACTTAGCACTGGCTCAATTGCTCTACATCAAGATTCAATCATTCACAGAGCTTTTTTTCTTTCTTTTGTTCATGGAGAACCAAATATCTACAAGACCAAAGAGCTTTTTCTTGTTATACTAGCTGCATTTCTAGCCCACCAACAAACATTATGATCTTTCTTCTTTTATGAGCTGCATCAGCATAGTTTTCTATTGGTGGTGTTGATAGTTTCAACTTCATGATCATCTTATTGACACTCACATTTCAGATGATAAATCTATACATACTGATGAATCTATACATACGGCAGTTCATGCACTAATTCATTTACTAATGAGCATCTTATTAGATTTTTTCATGAACCTGTGACCATTTCAGTGCTGGACCGATCAATTTGGATGCCCACGTCGAACTTTTTTAAATATGCATTTTATATTTTTTTTCAAAATTAAATAATAAAAAAATAAAAAAAAGTCATAAAACAATCAAACTCCATAAAAAATTTATAAAAAAAGAAAAAAATCCAATAAAACATATATTTTATTGTTGAAATATAGATTTTCTTACATTTTTCTGTGCAAAATCGAGTTTTTCAACCATAACTATCTAAATTGATAACAAAACTAACCCATTCAATCGCTCTTATCAGCTTCAACTTCGAGAAACTTCTTTCAGCAGTGGCAACTGATACCGGAATGGTCAACAATATGCGACAAGCAATTTTTGTGTGTTTGACAACAATTCTCCATTTTTTTCAAAAAATTAATCACTTCAGTAGGCTTATGAACATCATCTGGTATTGATACTCGAAGAATTTTCAATTCCATATACAGATCAGCACCATCTATGTCTGAATGTGTACCATTCAAAAAAGAAACCTCCAAATTCGCACATGAACTCTTCAAACTATCATTGCTGGCCGATCTTAGTTTTTTTAATATCAAACAAAACCCAGAAGTTTGTTCATACTTTTGGAATTGTTCAAACCTGGACTCGAGAGAAACTAGAACTTGATCCTAATAATTTTTTTTTAAAAAATATGCCTTTTTAAAGTGGATACCACAAAAAATGTGTTCTTTTAAAGTGAATGTCCATGACGGTCGTCTCCCTGACTTGCTCTCAAGGCCGGGCCCCAGGGCTCCAGCCTAGATCTGGGACAAAGGTGGACTTGCACTGATGAATGCTTGAAAAACCAGCGAGTCTCTTCTTCGCTTGTGTTCATAACTCCTTGTTACATGCAACAAAAGACTAGCTTCTCAATACATAATAAATAGATTATTGCTTCAGTTAGTACTCAAAGATGTAAAAAATGATATAATTAAAGCAAAATTATACTCTCCAATAGGATTAACAGAGCAAAATTATACTCTCCAATAGGATTAACAGATTATTGCTTCAGTTAGTACTCAAAGATGTAGGATCTTAAACACCAGGGCCAATAAATAGAAAGCACTCAAGAAAGTTTAGTATGCAACTAAAAGAATACAAGACTTGTATATCTTTTCTATTTAATATGTGCGTAATTAAAGAGCCTCCCTTGAAGCAACTAGCTTAAGGATATAAATCATATATACATCTCCATAAGCTACTTCGTAAATTGTATAAAAGTAAACTACAGAGAATAGTAATACTGAGCAAAGCTTTATCTTATCAGTAAATACATCTCTATGATTTGCCGTAAAACAATAAATTGTGTCCGAAGGAACCTTACAAGCAGAGCCGTGCCTGACTTTTTGCGGACTACAAGCAAATAAAAGGCGAAAAAATTGGCCCCTTAAAGGCATTTTATTTTGTTATAAGATTAGAGCAGCTAAAACCCCAATTATATTGCCAAGGGCGTTAGCTCACTCATGTAAATAACTAATATTTAAAGATGAACACTCTTATATATAGTGCAGCTTCCCCATCTAAATTTTGAGTATTCTCGATGTGGGACAACCAATAGACAGATTTTTTAAAAATAAGAAAAAATGTCAAACGCGCGCATCTGGGAGGTATCGAACACGCGAAATCAACAAGAATAGCCCGTATGTAACTACACATGACCAACTAAACTAACTTAAGTTTTGAAAAATTGGCCCCAAAATAATTTTTAAAGTCACCGACCTGAAACACATACTTCATCAGCCTGTGTTCAGGCACAGCTCTGCTTACAAGAACAAGAGACTCAAGAGGATAAGAACAACACAAAGCCAACCTATAATTTAACCAGAGAAACCGACAACTAAAAAAGAAGAGAAATTAAGACCTGTTAACTATATTTTGTTGTAAAACGGGGCGGCCTTCGATTTACGGACAGATAAACGAATCTGGCTCGGAATCATACCCGGATCTGGTCCAATCCGGCGAGTATATCCCGTATCAAGCTTTTCCACAACAAGATTTGCGGTCTGGTCCAATTCTACGAGTAGATCCCGTATTTGGCTTTTACACAACCAGATTTGCGGTCTTCTTAGGGATGTCCTCGTTGCACTTCAGGATTCTCACATGTCCATCGACGAAGCTGTTGTTGGGATTCTTCTTCACCGGTGCCTTCTGAGCGAAATCAGAGATGGCAGCACAAGAATGTTGAAGCGGCAACGACATGTTGGAGATCACGGCGATGATCGGAGGGAGGAAGTTTTTCTGATTGGAGATGAAGAGTGTTTTGAGTGTGTGAAATGTCGAAGAAGAATTATTTGATTAGAGATGACACATCATTTTTCTTCTTTAATAAATGCTATGTTTGGTATTCAAATATGGGGCTTGTTTTGAGAATTTTTAATTTTTTTGGGGCTATATTAGAGAATTGCCAATTATTTAATTATGTGACTTCAATCAAAACCCTAATTTATTTAGAAATTATTTTTTTTATAAATCAAAATCTCACAATCGATTATTCTTAAAAACTCTTTAAACAATAAAATATAAAGGTCAAACAGTATTACAGTATTATTCTAGATAAGTATTGATTACCATATCTTTTATAAAATATAATCGGAGAAGACATAATCTACCATATGATTATATAATTAAGGAGGCATAGCCTACCATAGCGATTGATTTGGGAAAAAGACATCTCTTATCTTTTTTTTTCCGACGAAAGCATGAACTTATCATCCTGAAATAATATGAACATAAACAGAAAAAAAATCTCACCTTTTCGGTGGAAGAACAAAAGGAAAGACTTTTGTGCTGATAACGTGTTGTGAATAAGAAAGAGAGAGAAGATAAGAGAGAAATGGTTGTGTCTTATTCCATGAATAATGATAGGTATTTATAGTATTACAAAGACTTGGAGAGGAAGCTAAAACCTAGAGAATAAGGAAATAGAGAATATTCTAAACCGCCTAACGATATGAGCCTTATAATGAGCATCCATATTAATTATTCATAACAATATATAAATATACATCTATACTATACCTTACCAAATCAGCCTCTTCTTTTAGTATTTGCATCCACACATTTCTTTTTTTAGAAAAAAATATTTGAAAACTGTTTTAATATAAATCCATTTTGGTATAATATTAAACTAAAATATTCATTTTATTTTACATTTAAATTTAATTCTACGAAATACAGATATTAATTTGATTATTTGAATTTCTCTACATATAAGTTAGATAGTTAGATAAAATCACAATAATCATTTGTTATTATACATTAACAAAAATAAAAACCGGATATTAAGTTAGATATAATTTTAAATATTAAAAGTTAATAAATATCTTATTATATAAAAGAGAATAATTCAAAGTTGCTAACTTACCTGATGGTAACATGTGTTAAGTAAATTAATCTGATTTTGATATGCTTTTAATGAATTTCTAATTATATCTAGATAAATACATATATATATATATATATATATGCAAATTATGTGTAGATTAAGGAAAAAATCATAATAAAAATAAAAAATACAGTTTATAAAAAATAAAAACACTATTTCAGTTTAAGAGAAATTAAACAATAGATTATAAATTTACAACCAACAAAATATTTTGCTAATCTTTTTAGTTCATAAGGTACATATAAATTTTTTATTTTATATTACTCATGTTAGGTTAATGCATAAAATGGTTATTATTACATTAATATAGTCATGTAAAATACTTTTTTTTTTAATTATTATAATCTCGTTATTTTATGTTTAAATAATATTATGATTGTTGATAACTTTATCTTTATGTATAACATATTTTTGTGATCTGAATTTGTTTTTTAATTTATTTTTTGATTTTTTTTTTATAGGTTATAAATATTAAATTATAAATCTGCATATATATATATATAGGTACTTATCTAGATCAGAGCAATTATGTTAATTCATAAGGTGGTTATTGTTATATTAGTGTAGTAATGTTAGAATAATATTTCTTGAATTATTGTATTCTTATTATTTTGTATGTCAATATTTTATGATTGTTGATTATTATTATTTTTAAATTTCTGTACTATATATTTTTACGGGTGATATTTTTTTCTTTCTATTTTTCTTTATGGGTTAGAAAATGTGAAATAATAAACTCGCATATATGTGCGTATTTATTTAGTCTTATTATGAAAACACTGTTTTGAAACAAATTCAGGACAAGAAAAGTGCATCTAGTTTTTTTTTCTTTTCCAGGCACTTTGTTCGAGGATTGCCCAAAATGTCTGAGATTTACTTTATTTCAAATCCAACCATATTTTTTTACCCAGATTAGTAAACCTTATCTCTAAACATCTTTCTCATCTTGAAAACGCCTCTGTTTTCCGCCGGAGGGCGGTTTTCTCATCTCTCCTTCCCCTAAAAAAGGCATGCAGTGCCGACTCTGTTCAGCTTCCTCTTGGCTCTTCACTTACCAAAACTCTAGCCCTGTACTAAGACCTCAGCCGAACCTTCACTTGGATCTGTGTCTTCATGTGGTTTTTTCTTGACCCTATGAAGTTTTTCTCAACAATGACGACCAAGATTATAGGATTTTCTCCCTTCTGGGATATATGAAGAATACTTTTTGGAGTTCTCTCTGTTCTAGCTGTGTGTTAAGCCCATATTTTCTTTTAGCTCTTGTCATGAAGAGTCAAATCGGCAGAAGACTCAACAAGTGTACCAAGTGATTATAGCTTAAATCAGGCATTAAGACTACGGTCTAACTTTAATCATGCATTATCTGCTCCCTGTTACAAAGAATTCACTATTGAAAGTCAAACAAAAACACCAGATGCCACACCAGATCTGCACCAAACAAGACTGAAGATATCTCCCATATGGGAAGCTTGGCGACTCCGACTGTTTCTATCGTTCTAGCCTTGTGCTAAGCATCTTAAAACATCCAAATCCAAAGACCTTTCTCGTTGTACATGAAAAAATCAAACCCAAACCCAACTCTGTCTTTGTCGAGGATACAGAGAACGATGCTGAGCAATTTGGAACTACAAACACCATAGAAGCCATAGCAGAAGAAAATGATTGGCTTAATGATGACAATTTATATGAGGAAGATGAACTGGAAGGTTTAAGAAGCGAAGCAAATTCCCAAATCTACAATCTCCAATGCTGATTTATATGAGGTCGAAGCAAATTCCCAAACCTCCGGTGGCCAAGGGAGCTTTGTTGAAGAAGCAATGTTTTAGTAAAAGCCGAATTTCTCCAAAAGCAAAAGGAAAGGCAAAGGAATAGAAAGAACACGCCCAAGGAAGAGAAATCTCTTAAGGCCCAAGGGCCAAAACTACCATCACCATCTTTTGGTCTGGAATATGCCTATAAACCAGCAAACCATCAGAAATGAACGTTATCAGATGGAACTGTCAGGGAGCGAGAGCCGACCTGACAAAAGAACATCTAGAAGAATTTCATCACTGTTTTCAACCTCGTTTCTTATTTTTATCAGAAACTAAGAACATTTGAGTTTTTCTGCAAGACATGCAAGTGTATTTTGGCTATGACCATGTTTGTACCGTAGAACCGAGAGGTCGGAGCGGTGGTTTAACTCTTTTTTATATGGATGAACCTACAGTTTTCTATGTATTATTTGGATGAGCATTTGATTGATGTAGAAACTACTCTAGCATAAAATCTTTATTACTTCTGTCTACGGAGATCCGGTTGTAAAAAACCGAGAGCATGTCTGGGAGCGTCTCACTCGGATGAGCCTTTCTAGAAAAGAAGCCTGGTTTATGATAGGGGATTTCAATGATATTACGGGAAATCATGAAAACGAGGAGGGCGAAGATGATCGGAATACTCCTTTATCCCCTTTCGAACTATGTTGGAGAACTGTGGCATGCTAGAGTTCCCGTATAAGGGAAACTTGTTCTCTTGGATTGGAAAAAGATGTTCGGGTAAATTTAAGTGCCGTCTAGATAGAGCTCTAGGGAATGAAGAATGGCAATCTAAAATTATGGGGTTTAGATCACCGACCGGTTCTAGCTATGATACGAGTGGATAACTGACACGACTGACTCTTAAAAAAAACAAACACAATGTCAGCAACTACCTCCCCCAGACTTAAACAACACTGTCCCCAGTGTTATCTAGTTCGAAGTTGGTGAAACAAAAGAAAGGAAACAAAGAAACGCAGGAAAAACAGAGAACTTACCTGGCTGCAATGATGGTGTCGAGCGACACTGATGATGGTGTCGTGCGACACTTGTTCTTCTCGTACCAAATTGCAGCAGACCACTCCGAATTTTTTTTTTTTTTTGAATAGTGTCGACGGACACTGATGGTGGTGTCACTCGACACCAACCACTTCGTATCTGCTACACCTAAAACACAAAAACGAAAAACGAAAGTGAGCTGAAACAAAAGGACTTATGTACAGACTTACCAGTGGATTGCCTTCCACCAAGCGCTTGTTTTAAGTCATTAGCTTGACTATGAATAGACTATGCATCTGGTGGATCAGACAGTGGCAAAGAATGCCTCTGTGAAAAGCGTCTCATCCATGGTGGTGTGTAGGCATTGTGCGCATGAGGTCGTCCAAGGAATACAGGAATAGCACTAAGGTGAGATCTGTGTTTGGGTGGCCTTGACTTATTCCCTGAAATATCATCAATAGAAAAACCAAGTGTTCTACGATAATCTCGTAGCTTGCGTCGAGAGACCGAATCTGCATCTTTCAAATCAGTTTTGATGATATCACAAGAATTAGGATTAGGCTTAAGAACTGCGTACCTTTGTTTTGGTGGAGATGAATGGAGCATGAAGTTTTGAGCTTTCTGCTCAATAGCAACTACTGGTTCTGTAGACGTCTTAGTCAACTCAGGTTGATCTATCACCTTCAGCATCAAGCACGTTCTGATCTCCAACTATCACTTCAGATATTGCACTGACTTGGAATGTTTGACCATCTATGGTTGGATCCTTCAGCTTCTCCATCTTGAAAGTCATGATGGTATCTCCCAGGTGGAGATCAAGGTTACCATGCTTGACATCAATTACTGCTCCAGATGTAGCGAAAAACGATCTTCCCAGGATAAGAGGATCTTTGGGTTCCTCTCCATATTCCAGAACCATGAAATCTGTAGGAATTATGCAATCACCAACTTTAATCGGAACATCCTCCAAGACACCTTTTGGGATTCTTTTAGATCGATCTGCTAGGATTAGAGAGATCTTAGTTGGCTTGAAGTCAGTCATCCCAAGGTTAACAGCTACAGAGTATGGCATGAGGTTGACACTCGAACCAAGATCACTCAGCGATCTCTTGAACCTCTCTGAGAAAATAGAGCAGTCCAAAACAAAGCTTCCTGGGTCCGAGAGTTTCTCTGGAATCTTATTCTGAATCACAGCACTGACCTGTTCAGAAATCATCATCACTCCTTGCTCATGACTCAGATTATTAGTCACCATCCTCTTCACATAGTGTCGGAGAGTAGGAGCAATCTTCACAGCATCAACCAAAGGAATCTCAATCACAAGTTTCTCCATCAAAGCATTGCATCTAGCATTGTCTAGCTCCTGCTTGGACTTCCTAGGATTCCTTGGGTAAGGAACCTTAGGTTTGTAGACTCTTTCTTCTGTTGGTTTCGGATTCTGAACAACTTGAGCTTCGCTCTGTGATTGGTGTCGCGCGACACTAGTGGTGGTGTCGCTCGACACTGGCTCTGCAGTTTCGAAATTTTCTTCAGATTCGTCCAACTCCACGATTTCATCCTCAGAAATACCCTTTTTAAGCACAGGAGTCAACTTTTTACCACTCCTTAACGAGATGGCACTGCAGTAATGCCTAGGATTGGTATCAGTCTTCCCAGGAAGGAATCCTTCTTGCCTTTTTACAGACTCTGCAGTCTGAGCAACCTGAGTATCAAGCTTCTTGACATGAGTGTTCAGAACTTCAATTTTTCCATTCAGATCCATATACAGAGCATCAATCTTCCCATTGAAATCCACAGTCATCTTCTGCTGTCCTTCCAAAATCTGTTCCAGCATAGACTTCACCTTATTATCTGGAGTTTGAGTAGGAAGAGAACCATAGTTCCTTGAAAAACTGTTGTTGGAGTAGGATGTCTGGTACTGAGGTTTGAAGTTATAACCAGAAGAGTTCTGATTACCTGTGAAGGTACTCCTCTGATTATTTCCATTGTAATTCGTGTTCCCTTGCTGAGTACCAAATCTCTGACCCTGAAATCCAGCTCCATTGATGAAGTTAACATCTTCTTCCTCAAGTGTTTCATCTGGTCCGAAATTCTGAACTTTTGCAGGGAATCTGACGGACTTCTTACCCACAAGAAGGCTATGCACAGAGTCTAGCTTAGCTTTCACCTCAGCAATCTGTGATCCATCCATGTTCCCAGCCAGCTTCTTTTGCTGATAGTCTGCATTCTTGGTACTATTGCTAGATGCCAAATTCTCAATAAGCACAACAGCGTCTTCAGGGTATCTGGTGTTGAAGTTCCCATTACTTGCAGCATCAAGAGCCATCTGATATCTCCAATCAACACCTCTGAAGAAAATACCCAGCAGCTGAACATCACTGAAACCATGATGTGGACAATCTCTCTGATATGACTTGAATCTCATCCAAGCAGCCTTGAATGCTTCAGTTGGTCCTTGAGAAAACGTTGAGATTTTGAGTCTCAGTTCCTCAGACCTGGCATCATCATAGAAATTTTGCAGAAAGGCGTTTCTGGTCTCCTCCCAAGTAGTTAGTGATCCTGGCTCCAACTGCTTCAGCCAGTTAGCTGCTTCTCCAGCAAGAGAATAAGGAAACAGCTTACAGAAGAGGAAGTCATTGGACACTCCAGTGTATTTGATGCTGGTGACCAACTCCTCAAACCTCTCAATATGATCCATTGGATGCTCATGAGAAAGACCATGGAAAGGATGCTGACCCACAAGAGTGTAATACACAGGCTTGAGCTCAAAATCGTTCCTCTGAAACGCAGGAGCACAAATCGCAGACCGATTTGCATAGAATTGCTCAGGTCTGTTGTAGTCACCCAGCGTCCTGATGATGTTACCCTCTCCATCAAGTCGCTGGCCTCTCTCATTACACACCTGACCATCTTGGTCTCTCCAGAATCCAGCATCATCACGAACCAATGCCAATGCGTTCTCCATCTCGGCTAGTTTCTGAGACAAAGAGAAAGAGCAATGTAAGTAACAAAGTAAAAATAAAATTAAGAAAAGCGACGGGTGTCGCGCGACACCACTAGGGGTGTCGGTCGACACTAAGAAAAACTTAGTCAAAACTCAAGAACTAAAGTTTAATGGCGAAAATCAAGTCCCCGGCAACGGCGCCAAAACTTGATCTGCTCAAAGTTTAATCCCTAGAGCTACTCTGCAAGAGCACAGATGTGAAGTTGTAGTATGTAGGAGTCGAGAGATTCGCTCAATAAACCTAAAAGACTTGAATTACGCTAAGCAGATTAATGAGAAGCAAACAGGATGCAATAAAATGATGCAGCAAAAATGTTTGTAAGATTCAGATGGATGGAGATTAGGTCTAGGGCGTTTCTCAGGAAATCAATGAATGCAGAACAATCGATTAATCAGGGCTCAAGTTTAAGCACGGTTCTTGAACTCGAATCACAGAATTATAGTTAACCAACTTCCGTTGTGAGAATTATCTAAGTTAAAATCCTAGAATTCCAAATTCCTTTGCAAACCCTAAAGATTTAAACCAGCTTTAATGCACAAGTTTGATATGTTCACAAAGTATCTATACCAAATTCCTTTGCGAATAGCTACTTTGCTCACCCTAGGTTCTTTCCAGTTATTCAATTACACTTCCGTGTCAATCAATTAACCTAAAATCTAAGTTCTAGGTGGCCAGTCCAGAATTAGAACAACCTATGGTGAAGAACTAAATAGATTATGAACCCTAATTAATCAATCAATCTAACACCCAATGAAATCCTTTATGAGCACCCTAAACCTAACAAACAAATTACTCAGACATGAAGATTGAAGCAATAAACATGAATGAATAGATTGCAGAAAACAGTAAATAGATTAATAAACAGGGGTTCGAAATCTTCTCTCTCCGGAACAGAGTTTCAGACTTGTCTCCCCAAAAGCTCTCAAAAACAAAAGTCCTCTCTAAGAAAATCTAAGGTATCGATATAAGGTGGCTAAAAACCCTATTTATAACTGAAAAACACGTTTTGGGCTTCTTTGTAATTATTGGAGACTTTTGGGCCCAACTCCTTCTTCAAATAGGAGACAAAATCACGTTTTCCTTATTCTTCGATCGGTGTCGAGCGTCACTCTCCATGGTGTCGAGCGACACCATTGCACATGATTTGTCCATCGCGAATTTGATCATGATTTAGCGCCAAAGTGCTCCAAAGTCTCCAGTTAAGCTCCAAACGTACCTATGACCTGTAAAGACTCCAAAAGACTCTAGAAATACTAGAAAGACTCTATAAATAAGACCTATACCATGGTTAAAAACCATAAAAACCATGATATATCAATAACCAACGAAAGAAAAAATCATTTAGGTTTGATAAAAGATGACTAGGTGATAACACCGTATTTTGACCACTTTTTATGGATCATAATGATGTCTTATGCAGGGTTTTTAACTCTGTTTTCAATGGGTTTTAAAGTGTTTTCAATGTTTTAGAGTTTCAAAAGACTTTTCAGGAAACTTGGGCAAAAGATATGAAATTTGGAACAAATGAGCAATTTTGGATAAATGCAGAACGTCAGAAGTATGAAAGCGATGAAGATCTTCTCACCGTCGGATCAACCCCAAAATTTGAGACAACATAGATGAGACAACCAGCTTTCTAATTCACTTGGTTTGGAGACAATCCAACGGTAGATCTTCATATACTTCCGATGCCAAAGCATGTTTCCCCGCAGATAGAAGCACCGCGACCGCGGCCAGACAACATTCACTTCCCAGACGACCTAATTAAAGCCCAAGTCGATTCCTTTTATTATTTTTGTAGTCCTAAGTGTCAAGGACAACTTTAGAAGCTATAAATACCCTCTTTAGGTCTTTCTAAAGGAGGAGATCGCAGACTTAGAGAGAGATATAGAGATTTTGGTGTGTGTGCCTCAGGAAATTTAAGGAGGCCGCCGTCTTCGAAGAAGGAGCCGCCGAGGGAGAGCATCATCGCGCCTCCACCTGCAACTCTGTTATTCGTTTTTCTTATTTGTTCTTTTTAATTTTCAGCAATCTCATTACGTTCATGATGCTTTGTTACAATATGTTTGAGTAGTTTCCCAGTTGGGTTTAAAGAGTTTTTTCAAAGAGATTTAAGATTTATAATCTTCTAGGTATTCTTCGTTTGGGTTTAATCTTACTGCGTGATTCTCTGCTGGCCACTAAGAATTCGATCTAGATAAGATTTGTTGCGAAAGCTTTCATTGATTGTCTAACCTAGGGTGAAACGAGAAATTCTACTATAGGAGTGGAAACCTACCTATAAATGATTTGTGAATTTTGATGAGTCTTGTTCAAACTATTGCATCTACTCCCTTCCAGGATCAGAGTGGAAACCTATTGGTTAGGGTTGCGAGAGATAGTTGTTTAGTGCTGTGAAAGTAGGCTATTCATACTTCCGTGTCTCGAGTTCTAGAACATACGTAGTCGATTACCTTTACTTATTTTCGTCATCGCTTTAGTCCATAAATCCCTGCGATATCCTTGAGCCCAGCGTTTTTTTTTAATTGTTTACAGCCTTCCATTTTCATTCGATTTTCACCTGCTTTCATTTTCAATTGCTTTTTACTTGCTTTTTAGTTTAGATTTAGTGACACCCAAAACCAAAAAAAAAAAACCAAATTGTTTAGTTCTAATCTGATTTAAGCATTAGCGTGAATTCGTACTGAAACAACTAAGTCTATGTGGATGGATACGCTAAATACTACAGCGCACATCTGTGCACTTGCATACATTTAGGGGTTATAAATTTAAAAACTGAAGCTTAGTAAAACAAACACCCCATTTACAATCACATCAAGTTTTTGATACCATTGCCGGGGACTTTGATTTGTTTCGTTGCACATCCCAGCTTAAATCCATTAGAACACTTGTTTATTTTACTTTTTTTCTTTTGAGTTTTCCAGGTTACTCGACAATGGGAGACCGGGAACAGGTTCTTGGAACTCTCGGTGATCCGCCATATTGTGTGGATGGTGATCCGAGCGATGATGACCTGAGTGATAATGAGCTTGAAGATCCGATCATTGATGATGAGGAGTTAATCAGATCAGCAAAATGTGAAGATGATGATGAATTAATAGGAAAATTCGATTCACTCGAAAAGTTTTTGGGAGATCGAAGAGCTATTCAACCAGCCTTACCAGAGGACGGTAAAACCAAAATGAAGGTACCATATATCAACTTAGTTCAACAAAATCAATTTTATGGTTATTCATCCGAACACCCGATGGACCATGTCGAGTTGTTCGAAGAATTATGTGCAACCATTACATCAAATGGGGATTACCATAAGTGTAGTCTTTTCCCATTCTATTTAAGAGACAATGCCAGTAAGTGGCTAAAATATTTTCAACCTGTATCAATAAAAACGTGGGCAGCTCGTAGAGCGACTTTCCTAAATCGTTTTTACACTAGAACTCGTTCCAATCTCTTAAGGAACAAGATAAGAACTTTTGAACAAAAGGAAGACGAAGATATTTCTGATGCTTAGGAGAGATTTAGAGAATACCAAAGAGATTGTCCACGGCATGGATATTATGACGAATACCTGATGGGTATCTTCTATCGAGGCGTAACTGAAGAATTGCAACATTCTTTCGATACGGCACGCAATGGAGACTTTGCCACCAGATCCGTAGAAGGTGCTCGTATTTTCATCAATAACTTGGCAGGAAGTATCTGTAACCAAGCAATATTTGGCAAGTCTACACTTCCTGAGAAGAAATAAGAGATCTCGGAAGTTATGAAGTGTCTCCATAAAATAATGAGTCAACTTAGATTGCAACAATCAAACAAAGCAAACAATACGTGTAACTTTGATAGTTGGGATAACCCAATGGATTCTTATAATCAAGAGATGATGAACACTGAAGAAGTCTACCAAATTCAAGATTTTCCTTTCGTCTCTGATCACCGCAGGTCCATTCTTTCTGACTGCGGCCAACCCAGCTTTCACCAAGGTCGTGCCTTCCCTAACCGCGGCGAAGACCCATTTCATCACGTTCGCGAGTCATACGACCGCAGGAAATTCTCTTCCGAACAAATCTGGGCTGTTCATTCTAATTCCAATCCCTATCCTAGTTTTCCCTCTTCTGAAGTTGAAAATCTAAACAAAAGGATTATAGAGCTTGAAAAATCTAAGTCTAGGGAAATCAGTGATCTTAGCTCTGAAATAAAAAGTATGCAAGAAGATTTCAATGATAAATTTTCCACCCTCCTTAGTCTAATGATTAAAAATAAGTTTGAGAACACATATAATTCCGAGGAGGAGCCAAGTGAACGTTCTTTCGAAACCTCAAGCGAAGACGACCACTCCGATCATGTGAAAGCTATCACACTTAGGAGTGGATTAGCTTACAAATAGCCTGAATTTCCTAAAGATCCCGAGGATGAGGAAAAGCGAAAAGAAAGAGAAATAGTCACGATTGAAGACGTTGAAAACGAAGTGGTAGGAGAGAAGGATGGAGAAGAAGTAAGAGAAGATACATCCCGGGAAATCCTCGGAGAAGACCCTATTCCCCCTCCACCAGCTCGTATCTACAAACCTAAACCACCATACCCTAGAGCCTTAAGAGCCCCAAAGAAGGAGAAAGAAAAAGCTAAGCTGAAAGAGCTAATTGATCAATTAAACGTGAGATTACCTTTCGTAGAAGTCTGTTCTATGAATCCCGCTTAAATAAAATACATGAAGGGTATTCTAACAAATTCTTTAACTCTTTAAGAAGGTGTTATGATGATAACCCATGAATGTAGTTCTATCTTACAAAGTCGGATTCCTCAAAAGAAAAACGATCCTGGGAGCTTTGTACTTTCCTGCACTATCAATACTATGGCTTTTGAGTGTGCTCTTTGTGATTTGGGATCGAGCATAAACATGATGCCTCTCTCAATTACAAAACGTTTAGGATATCATACTTTCCAGCCCACTAAAATTTCTTTA